CTTTCCGCCCCCCCCGCACACCCCCGTTTCTTCCCCACCCAGCTTTAAGCACAGAAAAAAAAAATAAAATAAGATTTGGGCACAGCAGCTTCAGCCAGTGGCGTGCAGGGAGCGAGCCCGAGGCAGCAGCATCCCCAGCACTGTGTTTCGGTGTTCCCTCAAAGGTCTGCTTTGTCTCGGAGCCGGACCCGTCCAGGAGAGCCTGAATAGCTCGATTATCCCAGGGGCTGCTCCTGGACACGGAGCCAGGAGGCCCAGTCGGAAAAAGCACTGCGGGAACACGGAGACCTCGCAGGGAGGTCGGGAGAGGTGATTCATCCGACTGGAAGCGGGAAGGGAACTCGGACACATCCCTCTCTGAAGGATACGGAGGAGCGGAAGGTGGGTGCTGCCTTCCTGACCCGGTTCCTCCTCACCCCGGTGGGGTTCGTGCCCCTCCTGCCCGCTGGAAAGGGGATTTCCAGCAAAGCCGAAGGCGGCGCTTACCTCTGATGATCACCGCGAGTCTCTCTCCGGTGGGATCCCACACCATGGAGTGAACTTCTCCTCCGATCCTGAAACCGGCACGAGCAGCAGTGAGCTGCCACCATCCCCAGCGGGGAGACACGGACCCCCCGTGTCACCTTAGGACGACGGGGGCGGCCAGACCCACCTCTCCTCCCCGTAGAGCGTCTCGAAGGTGGTCTCGGACAGATCTGCCACGATAGAAGCCGTTTTCGAGCCTCCTACTTGCCCTTGCATCTCCCCTGAAACAAAATCGCAGGAACCGGGTCATTTCTGGTCTCCTGTTCAAATCACTGCCCTAAATCATACTTTTATTTCTAAAGCGATACGGGATTTATCTCTGTTTCTTAGAGCAGGTAGAGAGCACCGTGCTGCAATCCCAGCAGCATCTGCCTAGGTGTGGGACTGAGGACAGGCGTGGGTTTCCCCTGAAAAAACCATCAGGACCAGCTGCCTCTGTGGAAAAATAAAGCCACGTGAGCTGGGCGTTTAACCCACTGTAAAATTTCCCTGCAAACCGTTTGTGACCAAGATCGTAGTGTCCTGCCTAAGTTAAAAAAAAAAACAAAAAACAAAAAAAAACCAAAAAAAACCCAACAAACAAACTGGGAAATGCAGCTAATAAGGAAGAAAAAAACAAACCATCGGGCCCCAGCCAAAAGGAAGAGGATCGCTTGGGGAACAGCCACCGGCTCGGGCAGACTCACCTCTGTACTCGGAGAAGGACAAGGAGTAAATGACGGACTCTCCCAGCACTGTGAAGAGCAATCGGCTGCCGTCAGGGCTCCAGCACCCCGTCTGCGGGACACAGAGCCACGTTAACGCCCGTTAGCTGGGCCGGGGAGGTGGCAGCTCGCCGGGGACCTTTTTTGAGCCAGCTGGCAACGCGG